AACAATGACATAATGATAAATTTAAAGTTGATGGAATGATAATGATAGAAAAAATCTATTCACCGAAAAAAAAATTATGTACATTACTGAATGGAAACAATAAAGATAAGCATGTTAGTGAAAACGACAAGGACAAAAAAAAAAGGAAAAGTTAAAAGATAATAAAAAAAAACATTCTAAAAGCAAAAACAAAGAAGATAAAAAACATATCAAAAAGAAAATAAACAAAGACATTCATTACGAAGTGACATTCAGAACAAAATCCCATAACAATAAAGAATTCCAATGCCTTATAAATGGTAATAATTGGATCTGAAACTACGATCGTGATCTTTTAGTGAAGAAAATTATTATCATAGGAATTTACGAAGTTAATTATGTAATTCAGCAAAAGTTGCAACATTGACAGATTGTTGATGATAATTCATTACTCTTATTCTTTTTATCATTGCTATTATGTTGGGATACCCTCTTTTCATTACAAATTATATAATAATAATAATAATAATAAATAAATGTAAATTAATATTATTGTTACCTTTCTTGACCATGAAGTGTTATAACCATGTTGGCCGATTTCTTTTTACCCCTCCCCCCAAAAAAAATAAAATAAATAATGATAATAATAATAAGTAAATAAATAAATAAGCAATCTCTCTCTATTCTCTGGAAGGTTGGTGTGAAGGTAAATAAGGAAATAAATAAACAAAGGAACGAAATAATAAGGAATGAAATGATAAGGAACGAAATGAAAAGGAAAGAAGTAAAATTAATGAAATAATAAGGAACGAAGTAATAAGGAATGAAATAATAAAGAACGAAATAATAAGGAAAGAAATAAAAAAGGAACGAAATAAAAAAGGAACGAAATAATAAGGAAAGAAATAAAAAAGGAACGAAATAAAAAAGAAACGAAATAATGAGGAACAAAATAAAGAGGAACGAAATAAAAGGAACGAAATAATAAGGAACAAAATAAAAAAGGAACGAAATAAAAAAGGAACGAAATAATAAGGAACAAAATAAAAAGGAACGAAATAATAAAGAACGAAATAAAAACGAACGAAATAATAAGGAACGAAATAATAAAGAACGAAATAAAAACGAACGAAATAATAAGGAACGAAACAATCAGGAACGAATTATCAAAGACCGAAATAATACGAATAAGAAGGAACGAAATAATAAGAAACAGAATACCTAGGAACGAAGTGATAGGCCTACGACACTCACGCTGGGTTCAAGGCCAATCTACGTGAGAGGCTGCCTCCCATCTGTCGATTTTTCTTCTACCTCTCTCTCTCTATTCTCCGTATTCTTCTACTTCTTCTTTTTCTCTTTGTTGATTTTC